ATTCTGGACACACCTATGATTATTCATTATGCACCAACTATGTCAATAATGTATCATTAAAAACTGACCCTGAATCTGCCATTAATAACCACATCACATGTTGGCTTAAATCTTGAGAAACAGCCACTGCCACTCCAACCTCTCTTAAGCTATGTTCACATTGAAAGCCTTAAAGCTCAATTCCAATTTATTACCCCGATCAGATTTTTTTTGATTGTCTGATCACTTAATTATTTAAATGTCAGAACTATTTAACTTTTATTTAACAGTTTTACTTTACTAATTTCGCTTAATACTGAACTTGGGGAGACTGCCTTCCACTACTTTGCACCTTATAAATGGAATGAATTACAGAGGGCATTAAAACTTGAATGTCTCATCCAGCTGGCTGATTTTAAGCTTAAAGACTTAAACAAATTTATTTAGTGATGTCTGTGATTGTCTCTGATGGTGTATGTACTTTTGCTTGTCTGGCTATGTTTGTTTTTCTTTCTCTCTGCTGTACTCAGATCTCTCTTGCAAAATGCTGTATCTTGATCTCAGTGAGATTAATTGAAGGATATCTTCAGGTTCTCAGTGGTTTATGGTACAAAGATGTAAAAACATTTTTTTAAACTGCAACTTCTTTGCTTGCACCCTGTGATGTAAAGTGTGTATGTAGGCTGCACAAAGAACACTGGTCTGTAGTTTAAGACCCTTTAAGTCAACTTGGTGAACCCATGGACGTATTTGGGAACTGTGTTAAGAATGGCAGTCAGGATTTGCTGTAGCCTACATGTCATGGGCAGACAGCATTGTTAGTGGTATTGAAGACCACACCAGTATCTAACCAGACCCAAGTGACATTTGCATGTGCATTAACATGCTGTTTACTGTGCTGTAGCTGAGTGGCAGCACATTAAACAGCACTTCATCGCGGTGAAGGGGTGTTGGTGGCTCGTTTAAAAAGTTACGGTGCGGGACAAGACAAAAGTTCCTTGTTTGTAAGTTAGACAAGAAAGAGACTTTAGCAGGAAAGACAACGTGGGGTGTTGTTTAAAGTCTGTGGCTCCTGTGTTGTGTAGCAGGGTGCTGTATACAATGTGTTCAGTTGGACTTAAAGAAAGGAACCCAGACGACAGTCAACATGCATGTCTTGCAAAAATCAGACACCTTAAAAATATCAATATAATTTCTTAATATTAGAAGCAATTGTAGAATAATGGCTTTAATACTTTTTAAAAACATCATTGTGTTAAAAAAAAATGATAAAAAAACACATTTAATTTTCACACTGTTTCAGGTAGAATTAGACCTTTTGCACCTGACAGTGTAAAAGATCCAATTAAATTAATTGGCTGTTTGTTTCACACCTTTTCTCCCATTTTTACAAGCTAGAAGGTGGCTGAGTGTCACAGACTGTTACCTCTAAACGTGCTCAGCTTCATATTTGTCTAATTGGACACTCCTGGGGACCTTTGAATACAGTGCAGATATGTTATTCTTCTTTGTCTCATATAAATGTCTCTCACGGTAGCTATTATCATAAACAAAATGCCCTGGCTCTTCATGTTTTTTGATCTTTGAAGTATCTGCTGTTTTATTGGCTGATAACTAATTAAGAAAATGGGTTTTTGTGGCACATGCTGGGGAATTTGATTGTTGCCTGAGAGGCTGTTTTTTGACGTTTCATGACAATGTCGTCTAACAAAAGGTATTACCAAAAAAAAAAAAAGAAAAAGAATTTCCTTTGTTTACTTTTCTGTGACTGCTGTCACAAGCTGACATTGTTTTTCTCACTCATGTTTTATTCAGCGAGCCTCTTGTATAGACTTTTGTGCAGACTGGAATTCTCCTTTTGTTTTATGCTGCTGTATATTTTCACTTAGGAGACAAAGCGCATTTTTTTGCAGCATTTATTCAGTTTAAAAAGGTCGCAGCTTGAATGGAAACATCAGGATAGAAATCTGACAGTCTTTGAGCTGCTCTCACTGCTCAGAGTGGAGCGACAATGTTCTTTGTGCAAAAATGCTGTTGTAGATTGTAGAGCAGGAATGTCAGAGAATATATTAGGAATGAGACATATAAGTATATTATGTCATAACACAGCTTTGTGAGTCACCTGACAGAAGACTTTGATTTTGTCTGCATAGAATCCAAAGTAATGCGGTAGAGAGGAAAAATGCTGAAATATATATAATTTAAGAAAATGCTTTGTGCTTTTTGACTAAAGCTTCTGCTGCTCAAGGTGCTTTCACACTGAACAAGAAGTAAATTTATGTCTCCCCTTATTCATAAAATTGTCTGCATGAGTGTTTTTCAGCTACAAATTTCACATGGATGTGACAAAATGGCTATTAGGTATACCTTCTCTGAGCTTCATAATGAGCATCCTGGAGTAGGGAGACGGTCCAGCGAGGAGGAAGCTGAGGAGACGTGACACTGCAGTACTAACACTGAATAACTGTAGGGTTTCAGCAGCCTATGGACTGTCAGGTAACATATGACTCGAAGCAACCTATTCCATTAGGACAAAATATTGCGAGTTTATTCTTATCATGACTTAATCTCTTATTATGACTCGTAATCTTAGATTATTTTTTTAACAGTGGCCCAAATAATCCGTTGTATACTGAACTATGTATGGAAGATTTTAAATGCCTAAATGAAAACAAGAAATACAGTAAGGCACAATACACATTGTTATATGTATTTTGTATTTATAATATAAGGAATATGAAACAATTGCAGATAAAAATAGACATCATTACCAGTGTATTAATATGTACAATTATCAGCAATCGGATAAACCTACAGTCAACAATGACTAGTGTGGAACCTATAGGCTTGCAATGACCAGAAGCATGTAATGTTGTAGCAGTGACCTGATTTAATGACTACATAATGTTAATGAAAAGCCAAGTGCATCTAATACAGAGAGTAACGCAAAATTCAAACAGAAGGGAGAGTAAGCAGGAAATATCTTGATTTCAGTGAGATCACCTGATTAAATAAAGGTTGTATATCCTCAAGTTCTTTTTGGTTTATGGTACAAAAATGTAAAAAAAATATACAAAAACCCCTGTAACTAACAACAGCATTGTTAATGGTATTGAACAGTAAGGACTACGCCAGCATCTAACCAGACCCAAATGACATTTGCTGGTGCATTAACATGCTGTTTAATGTGCTGTGGCTGAGCAGCTAATTAGCTATCTAGCCTGCAAACTGACATTAGCGTGCACTTTACCCCTGTCAATTGTTTTTTTTGGTGGGCCGTTTAACAAGTTACAGTGCAGGACAAGGCGTGTTTTTATGTTTGTAAATTAGATAAGAAGGAGACTTTAGCAGGAAACTGCCATATAGCCTTTATTTTTCTTTTATATTTTGTATATCTTGTTAATTTTGTATTTAGATTATTGTTTATTTTATATATATATATATATATATATTTGTTATGCACCAAGTCACTAAAGCAGATACACTGTATGTATAAACCTACTTTACAATAAAGCTTATTCTGATTTTGATGAAAGCTAATGTGGTTGTTGTTTAAAGTCTGTGGCTCCTGTATTGTGTAAAAGGCACAAAAGTATGTATATATATACATACATATAAAATAAAAATTCTGCATATATACTATTAATAAATTATGTATCAGACAATCTGTTTATCTTACATTAGACCAGTGGTTCCCAAACTTTTTAGGCAACGCACCCCCTTCTACATCTTGACTCCCTCTCTCTCTAGGTATATATATATATATATATATATATATATACACACATGTATATATGTATGTATATGTATAGGAAATGTACTGTATATACCTATCAACACTTTGCTCCGGTGAGCAGCGGAGCTGTGTGTTGAAGAGAAAGCAGCCGATATTACTGAAGGTACAATAAGCATCAAAATATGATGAGCTGTTTATATGATGACACGAAGTGCAGTGTTCCTGTTACACAAGTGAACAGGGCCAGCTGTGGCTCAGGAGGTGGAGCAGTTTGCCTGTTAATCAGAAGGCCGGCGGTTCAACCCGAAACCCGAATTCTGCCAGTGTGTGAATGTTAGTTTCTGTTTGAGCACTTAGGCTCAATGAATGGTAGATGAAGTGTAAAAGCGCTTTGAGTGGTCGAAAAGACTAGAAAGGTGCTATACAAATATGTAACATTCCCGAAGTTACTGCTACAGGGTTTCACTCAAAGTGACAGCTTTTAAATCAGTCACTCTCCCCTAACCCACTTACTGCACTTAAACACAGCATGCATCCGTCTCCTCTGCATCGCGATTTAGAAATTAACGGTGGCAGTAAAGCCTTTACTCGGTTAAACTTTGTAATCAATCCAAAGTTCACCTGCATGCCAAACCGTGTGAAGGGAGGTGGGGGGTATCTTCATGACAAAACCCCCCCAAAACTTTCAAAACATCCCCCTCTCTGTTTTTTTACAAATCGCACCCTCATAAGCCTCATAAACAGATAACATGGACAAAAAGAGGATCAATGTGAGGATTTGTAAGTAGGCTAGAGAGAAGGAAGAGAGAGAGGGAGAGGGAAAGAGGTGTGTGAGTAGCCCTTTCTGGTGAGTTAACTATTAATACTAACGTTTTTAATGTTAAATAAAATTTACAAAGGAAAGTTTTCAATTCAGGTTTTCCTTTCATGAAAAATTCCACAAAAAAAATAATTGTTGTAGTTGTTACACTGCTTGACCACTATTAACATTTTTCCTGTCGCATACCCCCTAGAGGCAGCACTACAGTTCTGAAATCGCTGCATTAGATGCTTGTGAAAGAACTGATGATTTGTAATGTTTATAGCAGAGAGGACTTTGTTATGGCACCGATAGCTGGGAGTAACCATAGGAGGGCTCAAGTGAGATAACTAGGGGCTCTATATGTGTGTCTACCCATTTCTTAAATAAAGCCGGTGGTAAAATCCTCACTGGACAGGTGTATGCCAGGTGAGAAGACAGATACAAACATTTAATGTGAGGAGAGAGGTTACATTAGATTTTTACCTGCGTAGGTTTTCTTGCCATAAAGGGATCCAGATGAAATTATGTGCTAGGGGCAGGCTGGAGAGCTGCAATGATGAGGTACCAGTGGGTGGAGGCTGGAACTGCTTGCGGTGAACAATGTATTCCTGCAGATAGTGCAAGAAATGCTTGGGAACCTTCTGCGAGCATATTCATGTTTGCTCACCTGTGAGAGCTGAGGCGGCGGAGACCTGAGTGCGAAGTGCTATTGAAGATGGAGGCAGGCTGCAACACGAGGCCTGGTACCAAGGCTGGAAGTGAAGAGAGACTCTAACGCTGTGCAGGGGCCGTCACAGGGTCTGAAGGGACAGAAGGATTGCTTGGATGGACTTATCAGGAGACTTCAAGGTGGGTCAGGGCCAAGGTTATAATCGTTAACGAAAACTAGGTGTGAAAAAACATTGTTGTCAACTTAAATAAAAGAAATATCGCATCCCGTATAGAGGTCAACGTGCCCTCCACAAATCAGCTTAATGTGACTGATTTCATCTGGCCTGAGAAACAGAACAACCACATCTCTGGAGCAACGAATTTTCCTCAAGCTAAACAAGAAATTGTTGCTTGACCGAATGACACGTGTCTCTCTAATCTTGCCAGGCTTTCAGTGTACTATCAGGTACAATACATGTGCACTTAAAATGTCCAAAATAGTCATTGTATTAATGCTGTCAATTACAACATGTGAGATAGTAATTAATTGCAATGATTTGCCATAAAGCTGCAGCACCTGCTACTAGTGCTGGGCAGTACAATTCGTTGATTAGTCTAGTTAATTTTGAGTTGGTTCATCTAAATAACTTCATCCTCTAGAGTTTATTGGGTTTTGTCTTTTTATTTTTTCCATGATTTTTGTTCAGATTGAGCCCTCTGAGACTCCTGCAGTAATGTCATGTGTGGCTCATGAAGATGTTTAACACATGCTGTTTGTGTATTTCTGTTTTAGTCTGTTGGCTTTTTAGATCTTTTCCTGGCACACTACCTGCATCTCACCATAGAAGCAGAATTTTACACTACATCACTGTAAATATTAAAGTCCTAGCTGCTGATCGTTTACTATGAAGATTGCTTTTATAATATGTTAGTATACTACTTTAAATGTAGGGGTAAATCCTCAACCCTATTGAGGACCGATCCTGACACAGGCAGAAATAAATACAGAAATATATAAATGCTCAATAAATAAATAAGCATCTAATTAAATACACCAAAAAATAAAGTAAATAAATAAATGTAGGTAGTAATTAAATTATACAAGGAGACATAAATGTATATATTTTAATTGTTGTCTTTACTTATTCACCTTTGTAATAATTACCTTATTTATTTATTGTCCGTTATAATCTTCATCTTTATTTATTAATTACTTATTTTTTAAATGTTTTTATTTATGTGTGTGTTTTAATATTTTTGTCTGTTTTATTCTTCTTTTGTATTTTTTTACCTTGCTTATTTTCACCCATGGTATTTATTTCTGCCTGTCCTTTTTACATTTCTGTATGCATTTCTGCCTCATTATGCAAATGAGGAGGGGCTGTGTCTCAAGGGGTCATCTTCTCTCCTATTGGTGGACCAGTCAGACAGGAGAGCTCTAGGCCTTCTCTGCCTGCAGACATCAACAAGCTTGCTCCTCACACAGTCAGATGGCTTCCTTCAGTGCGCTGAGGTGTTTAACAACTCTGAAGACACTACCAGCCATGTCTTCCTTCTCTTTTCACGTAGACGCTCCGACAGACAGTGCTTTCAGTTTGCTGCATGCATGGACACAGAAATGCGGTATAGGGAGAAGCACACGGTCAGCTGGCTGCAGCTAAATCTGGAGTGCACTCGTATTCAATTCTGTATGGTAAATTCAGTTTTAACGGAGCAGAGCGAGCTGACAGGCAGAGTTAGAGACTTTTTCTGTCCATTTCTCCCTTTACAAAGACGCATGTTGCAGTCAGAGTCTTCTCTGAAGAGGGCAATGAAGTCTCAGTAGTACCCAATGCGAGCATCACATACAACACAATTTATCAAATTACACAACGGATATACAGTATGAAAATAAGATTGATTGGATTATACTCACAGGAAGTATAAAACCTCTTACATGCGTCTATTAAAAGTAAAGTAACACAAAAATGTCAGGAAAATTACTTTACTTAGATTTAAGTACTGCAGTTGTACATTTGAAATACCTTCCTACCTTTCTGATAGGAAGCCTTCTTGAGGTGGTATAAAACATTTCTTCTTATATTCTGATTTGAGTTGTGGACAACTATGACCACATGAATTAAAAAAATTAAACAGTTCACTGCCCAAGTCAGCTATAACACAAGTCTTGTTCATTAGACTACATGCTGTACAGTATTTGTGGACAGATTTTGTAACAGGATTTATTATTTCTTCTTTTTTATTGCATGATTTAGAATAATAAGGTGAGAAATGGGTCTGTTCTGAGTTCATCCTGCACTGCAGCAGCTAATAAAGTCCATTTAATCCCAAAAATGCTTTTCTTTTAGGCAGGCTGGAGCAGAAAACAACTCACCTTTCTCAAGTTGTACAGTAATGTCTCATGTGTATGAAGGTGGATCAAACAAGTTAATCTTAAATGTCAAAGTAGAGAGGAGCCTAGTAGGCCTATTTATTTTCATTCATTACACAATGTGAATAAGCTATGCAGACAGATGTAAAGAAAGAACATCTTTTTCTTCTGTTCTCTACTTGTTATAGTTACACAGTATTAGGGGTGTGGGCTGTATTAAAAGTATCCACTGTTCTCCCATGCTCTAACACACAGTAACGATGAAATGTGTGCTGTTCTCTCATTCTTCCTCTGTATGTACACATAAACAACAAGGCAGGGAAATATAAAAGGAATTTATTTTATTGTTTGGGGGTTATTTGTTGCTCTCCTTCTCCTCCTTCTTCTTTTCCTCTGAAGAATATGGTTATGTTCTCTGCATGCCTCCTCCTGTGTTTTCTGTGTGAGACATAGAAGTACAGTAACTAACGTTAGCCTTCATTAAATCATTTCAACTGGTTAAGTGCAGTAAAGTTAATTTTAAATTGACTTCACCAACACACATAATACACGGCTTAATAGCAATCACATTTAACAGAAGCATTAAATTCTTCTTAATGGTAACTGTTAAGATTAGTTTATTTGTTAGTCACCACCACTAGCTCAAGAGCTTTAGATTATATGATGTTAGCACTACATAAATTAGCCTAACGGCTAACGGACTTTTACTCTCCTCATAGCTTAACAGATTACATGTATTATTCATAATATTCACCCTGAATGGCGTTTTTGTTGAAACAGCAGCTGAAAACAGCAGAGCAACGAGCAGCTCCGTGTGGGATAAATACTCGAATAGGAGTGCACTCCAGATTTAGCTGCGGCTAACTGATGTGGCTCTCAGAAACAACAGCTCACTTTCCTGCAGTTCTGTGTACGTATAAGTCGCTAATTGAAAACTCAGTAGGTCAGAGTGTCCACATGAAAAGAGAAGGAAGACATGGCTAGTAGTGTCTTACAAACAAAGTAATTAATAAATAAAGTTGAAGATTATAACGGACAATAAATAAATATGGTAATTATTACAAAGGTGAATAAGTAAAGGCACTAATTAAAATATATACATTTATGTCTTCTTGTATAATTTAATTACTACCTACATTTATTTATTTACTTTATTTTTTGGTGTATTTAATTGGATGCTTATTTATTTATTGAGCATTAATTTATTTCTGTATTTATTTCTGCCTGTGTCAGGATTGGTCCTCCATACAACCCCACCATAAATAAATAAATAACGTTTTGAAATATTTTATTCATTCGCTGTGGAGTTGGACATCAGCTTGCTATCATACAGCAATGAGAAACTGAGAATGTAAATGCGTTTAATCTGCATCTGAGATGCCTCCTCCTCTGCTCCTCTCTTTTGTGAGGTCCCTCAGGGGTCTATTCTCGGTCTCCTCTTATTAACTTCATACATGTTACCCCTGGGGCAAATCCTGTGTAGACATGATTTTAATGGCATTGCATTTAATTTCCTGCATGATTCCAAATCAGAAATAATTATAATTGCTACTTCTAGCAATCTTCTGTCACTAGTAGCATTAATAATATCTAGTCTAGCCAAACCTTGTTTGTTTAACACGGCACAGGCACCTGCAGCTTGTTGGTGTTAATTCAGATCAAGACTCATAAAACTACGAAGGCTGTTCCAATTTACCCCTTGTGATGATACTCAAAAAATATCGCTGGGGATGAATACAGTAGTTCCATTCTAGCAAACATTATTCAGCTTAATAAGATCTGTGATCACACGGCACATGGCTCCCCAAAAGTTTTGATATTAAGTCTTCTTTTGAGTATTTGATACTAGCGTCAATGGTATTTGCTTCTCTGCTGTTGCTGTGTGCAAAGCATGTGTGCAGCAATCTCCTTTTTATTTTAGAGAGTGGTCATTGGTTTTTCCATTAAACACAGTCTTTGTATTTTAACATGGCATGAGGTAATTAACCAAGAACAGTGACAATAAGTACAAAATTATTCTGTGGAAATGAATAAATATTAAGAGGTTGTCACTAGTGATGTATTCAGCTCATAAAAAATTACACATTTTCTCTCCTACTTGATCATACATGAGTTGCATTTAATTTTGAAAAGTATTGACAGCCTTGGTATTACCTGGTATCACATTTAACTTAAAGCACCCCGTAGATCCGCCCCTTAAAGGCTGAGGAAGAACCTTTCAGAAAATAGCTTAGTACTCCTTTATAGGAATAATGTCTCTCATATATACCTCAGGGGAGCATTTCAGCTTAATCATGAAATACCAGCAAGGTGGAAATGTCATGTATGCACCCGTTTCCAAAGCAAGGAGCACTTGTAACCACAAACCTGTCGCCAAGATTTCCCAGAATGACTGCTGAGGACACGGCGGTGCTAAAGATGGTGGGAAGTGAGCTGCGGGTGAATTCATGAGCAGATCCCTGTTGTCCCTGTCCAGCAACACCTCATGAACCGGGTTCCACATCCTGCTGATGTTGGCCAGTCCCACTGTCCACTGGGTCCTCTCCCAACCCGCAGAGTCTGCACCATTTCCGTCAGCCGTCTCAGACAGATTACATGACTAATGACGAGGAGCTGCTGCATCCCTCATAACCGTGTGTTAGAGTCAGAGAGCAAGAGAGGGTCGGAAATTACTTAAGTCTCTTATTACTCACATAAAAGCAGGAGCTAGAGTTGCAATTACCTACATGCACCTCAGGATATGTGGAAGTAGAAAAAAAAACAGCCCTGGTC